GAGGAGGAGGAGGAGGAGGAGGAGGAAGAGGAGCAGACCCTGTTCCTGCTCCGACAGACGGCGGCGGCGGCGGCGGGAGTGCGGCAGAGCGGCCGCAGCGCGGGCGGCCCGACCGAGCAGGCGCTGGATGCCGCCGAGCAGGCCGAGCGCCTCGCGGGCGAGACGGGCGACGAGGCGGCCGCGGAGGCTGCCGCGCTGCTGGCGCAGTCCGCCCGGTCGCTGAAGGCGGCCCTGCACGGCCTCGCTCGTTAGCAAATCGTGAGAGTATTCTGTTTCCCTCTGGGCCATGACGCGCTTGATGCTCCCCCCCTCCTCCCCCCCTCCCCGCCTCCATAGCTTAGCGCTCCCCCCGCCCCCCCGTGCGTCCCCAGCACTGCCGCATTGCGTCCAGCACCACAGCCTGGTTCTGGGCCCACACGGCGGGGGGGGGGGGGGGGGGGGGGGGGGGGCGTTAAGTTATACCCCCCCCCCCCCCTCGCCCCCCCCCCCCGCTGCCTCCCCATAACGCTTGAGTGATCGCCCCCTGTGAATGAGAAAATATCTCTGTCGTGGGTGCAGGCTTGTGCGCCCGTGTGAGAAGTTCCGGATTGCATACGCAAGCGTCTGGTAATCGATGATTTAGCGCAGATGATGCATCGATTAGCGTCGATGTAGCGTCGATTTAGTATCGGTTAGCGTCGACTAGCGTCGATTCGCAAGAGTCAGCAAGATGGCATGGGAGGCTCCCATGGGTTGCCACCGAAACCTCTTCCCGAAATCTCTGACGATATGCTTCTTTTCGATCTCGGTGTTCTTCAGTGGCTTCCCGAAGAGCAGCAAACGGTATAAGCATAGTTTCTCGGAGGCCCGCGCGGCGAGGGGTCCAGCGCCGATCCCAGAAATGCGCGCGGACCTCCGAGTAATCATGCTTCTGCCAGTTCTTGTTCGGCCTCTGAGGCTCGTTGTCGGGGGGCAGCAAGCATGGATCCGGGACGACCCCGGGGAGGAGGTCCGGAGGTCTGGGACCCCGCACTGAACAAATCATATCGGAGGATGCCTGAGTCTTCTTGGAGGAGTCCTAACGGAGGATCTCTGGGTCTTTCCGGTGGCGGCGGCGTCCAGCGGCGGCGGCGGCGGCCGCGGTGACGACGGCATGCACATCTCCGCGGGGAATAGACTCCGCCCGTCCTCCTCCTGCTCCTCCTCCTCTTTCTCCTCATCCCCCTCCTCCTTCTCCTCCTCCTCCTTCTCCTACGTAGTCGTAATAGTAGTCGTGTTCGCTAACTAGTCGCAGCCGTAGCCGCAGCCGTAGTCGAAGTCGTATCGTGGTCGTAGTCGTAGTCGTAGTCGTAATCGTAGTCGTCGGCGTCGTCGTCGTTGTCGTGCGGTGGGTGCCGCGGAGAAGCATCTCTTTTCCTGGATTGGTCGGACCCCAGTCCCTCAATCAGAGCGTCGACAAGATAATTAGTTAAATCTACCGGGGGATTTTCTAAAGATCTACAGCGGTTACCCGAGCGGCCTCCAGACTTCGGCGGCGACGACCACCACCACTACTGCACTGCCACTCGGTTTCATCAACCAAACCAGCATGGGCATTTTCCGCCAATGTCAGCGTCCAGGGGACTTTCTCGGGCCCCAAGGCCATCAGGGATCGACCCGCGGCGGAACGCCAGTCCTCGGGATCATGTGGAGAGCTCCAAATGCCCACCGTCGTCAACACGCACGGCGTCGGATGATGTGGAGATTCAGGGCGCCCCAGGGGAATCGAAGGTTCGGAAAGCGCGTCACTGGATCACCCTGTAGTTGAAGAGGGGCGGGGGGGGGGTCCGACACCCCCCCCCCTTCCCCCCCTTCAAAGGGGGGGTGAGATTTTCGCCCCCTCCCCTCTTCCTCCCCCCCTTGGCGCTCGAAAAGGGGGGGGGGTTCGAACCCCCCCCCTCCCCCCCTTTGCGCCGAACAAGGGGCCGGGGAGAGGGCCTCTCCCGCAAGGGTGGGGGAGGGGTCTGGCCTCGGGATTGTGAGTAGTGTGCAGTGAGTAGAGAGTAGTGAGAGGTGAGTAGTGAATAGTGAGTACTGAGTAGATAGTAGCGAGTAGTGAGGTGTGCGGAGTGAGTAGTGAATAGTGCGCAGTGCGCAGTGAGTAGTGAGTAGTGAATGGTGGGTAGTGGGTAGTGGGTAGTGAGTAGTGAGTTGCGAGTAGGGAGTAGCGTGTAGTCAATAGTGAGTCGCGGATAGGGCATTGTAAGTCGGCGTAGTGAGGAGGGAGTAGTCAGCAGTGCGTAGCGAGTAGGGAGTAGCGAGTAGTGATTAGTGAGTAGTGAGTAGTGAGTAGGGAGTAAAGAGAAGTGAGTTGTGAGTAGTGAGATGTGAGCAGTGGGTATTGAGTAGTGGGTCGTGGGTAGTGCGTAGGGAGTAGCGAGTAGTGAGTAGGGAGTAGTGAGTAGTGAGTCGTGAGTAGTGAGTAGTGAGTACGGAATAGTGAGTTGTGAGTAGCGACTTGTGACTAGTGACTAGTGAGTAG